GTGATGCCATGGCACTCTACCCAGGGGGATAGCTTGAGGCTCCGTCTCAAAAAAAAAAAGAAATGGACAAAAGATAGTAGGTGTCAAAAACCAAGAATTGTGATTAATCTGAATGCATGAACTTGAATACATGGGTATATAGTCCCAGTGCCAGGAGTGGGTTTGGGATAGGAAATCAGTGCCTTTTCAGAATTAACTCTTAGAGTCACAGAATCTGCAAGGGACCCCAGAGTTCCCCCAGTGCCAGCAATCAGATTCCTTGTTTGAGACCAAGGAGGAAAGAGGCTTGCTCAGGTCACGTGGCAGAGGACCAGAGCCCCAGCATTCTGACTCACAGGCTCTGAATTTTTTTCTCTAAAAACAATCTGCAGAGCTTCCTATGGAAGCTTTGGACATCTTTGATGCATGGGGTTGGATTCTAGAGTGCTTAGAGGCTGCAAATTTAGAACAGGGCATCTGGAAGCCCCAGATCCACTTGCCTACAGGAAAAGATACTCTTTACAACAGAGACTTTCAAACACTTTTGACTGTGACGGCAGTAAGAAATTCATGTTTACATCATGACCAAATTCACACACACGTGTATGTGAAACTTACAAGAATATCCTAAAGCCATGGTTACTCTTATTGCATATGATGCACCCTGGTATTTTATCCTATTTTCTGTTTTCATTCTATAAATGTTAGACATGACCTGTTCAATTTGTTTAATAAGCCACCAGTGGGTCACAGCCCAAAGGTGCTGTAGTGAGGTTGGCAGGGACTCTAGCAGGCCAGGTGGGATGTGTGGAACCGACCCCCTGCAGTCTGTCCTACCCTTGCTCTCTGTCCCTGGGCCTCCAGATAGCCAGGTTGAAGGGTATGAGAGTTCCAAGTAATCCTGCCCCAGAACCTCCCTTTCCACCTAGGCCCCACTGGGCCCGCTGGCATCCATCTTCTCCCCCACAGTTCCCTGAACTCACCAAGGCAAGCTCTTGCTATAGCATGTGAGTGAGAAGCATAGCTGGCCTAGCAGGAAGGAGCAAGCACACGTCTTAGGGGAGCCTCCTGGGTTCTGTGGGCAAAGCTGCTGCTTTGTGAGGGCACTGAGCCTGGTGGTTGCTAGGTTACCTGACCCACAACTCCAGAACCACTCCCAAGCACCCCTGTCCCTTACCCCCAGCCAGCTCCTCTTCCCTCACCCGCCAAGGACCTTCTCGCCCACCAGGCTTCCCCTTTGCCTCCCATCAAGCACTTCCAGTGGGGACCAATGGGAAGAAGGAGACTTGAGGGCTGGTTTCAACCAGCAGCAGAGGCAGAGAGAGGTTTGGCAAAGGATATTAGTTTGCCTGGGTCTCAGCTCTGTCAGCTGCACCCAGCCTAATGCTGCCATGGAGGGGTTTGCCTCTGTGCATCCTGTTTCTGGGGATTAATTCTCCGGGGTTATGTCTTAGCCCACAAGACCCAGAGGCTCCCTCTAGTCCCACTCTCAGCAGATGGCTGGGTGGGAAGGTTCTGGGTTTTCAGCTGAATGGGCATTCTGGTAAGACACTGACATTCCACAAATGTGCCACCTAGGGCAAGTCACCCATATTGCCACAGATGCAAAATAGTGGCAAGAATCCCGGGTTCAAATCCCCTTTCTGCTACATCCTAGCTGTGTGGCCCCAGACAATTTCCCTGACCTCTCTGAGCCTTAGTTCCCATATCTCTAAAATAGAGATGATACACTTATTTTCATAGGGTTGTGGGACTATTGAGTGAGTTATTACATATTAACTGTAGTTATTACATCAGTGCCAATTGTTACCAGCTCCATAAGCAAGAAAACATTTTTTTATAATTTTTTTATTGTTCTCTTATGTTTCAAGTTCCCAGGCCAGTAAGATTTGCTGACCAGAACTTTGTACCTTCCTGTTGCACTGATGTATTTGTTTTTGAGCCTCTTTTCAGGAGTGGTGAAACCTCCTGCAGCCATGAGATAACTACAGAGCCTTACTCTACCTGTTTGTCCAGAAAAGACAAGTGATACATCATTGCCTATTGTGCCCAAGGACCCACTGAGCTTGTGCATAAGCCTGTAAGAATGACCAATATTAACCCCTACCTCTTTGTAATACTAAAATCCCCACCCTGGCAGAGACTTATCCACAATTTTTTGACCTGGGATGGATGTACTAGCATCATTTCTCACTGTGCTTATGGGCCCTGCACTCCACCTCAAACACATAGTGATGTTCACTCCCCTCATGCATTATTCATATTCACCTCCAGAAAAAATCCCTGACCTTGTTTATCGGGGAGGTGAATTTGAGGCAGTCTGTGACTCTCCCTCCCAGCAGATGCATCTCCTGCAATAAATCTTCTCTTCCTTGACAATGCTCGTTGTCTCAGTAATAAGCTTTCTGGGTTGTGAGCAATACAAACCCCCCTTTCGTTAACAAGAACAGTGCCTGACACCAAGTATGATCTCTTCCCATTAGTGTTTCCTCTGGATCTGTAGGATGGGGTGCACTTGCTTACATCTGGGGTTATTCTGAAGGGCAAACAAGCACCTAGTCATATGTCTGGCACATAAGAGATGCTCAAAAAGAATAATAATAATAATAATTGTTATTATTGGCAACTTGATGGAGGTAGGGTTATGTAGTGGGATGAATCCTTTGAGAACTTTTTCGGGTACACTTGTAAGGTAGGAGTACGGATAGTCCTTGGCCCACAGGGCTATGAAGAGATCAGAGGCTGTGAGAGTGTAAACAGGCTCTGTAAACTACAGAACTGTAGATGGTGATTGCTGCTGGCCTCAGAATTGTGGTGGGCATACTCAAGGTCTTTGCCCTCAGGACCATAGGGCTTCATATGGTGCCCTGAAACTTCTAGACTGTGTCTTCCCTCTGGGAAGCAAGGAAAGGAAGGAGGATAGCTACAGGCAAACTCAAGCTCTTCTGAAGTGATGCCCTTCCCAACTGAGGGGTAGGATGTGGACCATTGTGGTGACTCAATGCAGGGTGGCTTCTGATTCTGGCCTATTCTGCATGTCTCTCCATCTACACTGAGCAGAACATTCCATGTCTAAGCTCTGGCTTTTTCTGGGCCTCCTTCTGCAGGGATGAGTTGACCCCTTTTGAAATCATTTTGGAAACCCCCTTTTTCATGCTTTTTGGGCGTCCTGCTGACTATTGAGATAGATGATACTGTGTTTGGAAGAAGAGAGGGCTCTTTTCCCTCATGACAGGGCCCTGCCTGCTGCTTCCAGCAATCTTGGGGGATTTCCCATTGTCACAGCTGAGAGAAAAACCCACTCTCACCCTCCCCACTGGTGCCTTGTCATGGTTCCATTATATTATTTAGAGCTAATCACAATGGCTAGCATGTGGATTGCAGCTGGGGGGATGAAGGGGATTGTTAGGAAATGTCTTTAACACCTGTTTGTAAGAAAATCACTGAGGAAATCCTTCTGACTTCTTTCTTTGTGGAGGGTCAAAAATATGAGAGTGATTTCTCAGCTTGGGCGTGGTTTGAGGTATAGTCCTTTGCTTACATACCTCAGTTATAAAAGGAGAAATAGAAAACTTTATGAAACAGTTCTATGTGCCAGGCATTGTGCTAATCCCTTTAGACATGTAATCAATCTCATTTAATCTATAGTGGAAGAAAGTAATAGAGAAATCCTTAGTTGTATGTGTTGCAAATATATTATCTTCTCTGTGGCTTATACGTCTGTCTTTCAATGCAATTTTTTTTTTTTTTTTTTTTTGAGACAGAGTCTCAAGCTGTCATCCTGGGTAGAGTACTGTGGTATCACAGCTCACAGCAACCTCAAACTCTTGGGCTTAAGCGATTTTCTTGCCTCAGCCTCCCAAGCAGCTGGGGCTACAGGTGCCCGCCACAACACCTGGCTATTTTTTGGTTGTAGTTATTGTTGCTTGGCAGGCCCGGGCTGGATTCAAACCCACCAGCTCCCATGTATGTAGCTGGCGCCCTAGCTGCTTGAGCTACAGGTGCGAACCCTAAATGCAATATTTTGATGACGAGAATTCCTAATTTTATATGTCTATTGCCCTTGTCAATCTAGTCCTTCATAGTTATTGGAGTTTGTGTATTAT